CAGTGGAAGCATAGAGTCTTAATCACTGCACTGCCAGGGAAGTCCTGGGACCAGCAAATGTTAGGGGTGAGCTTGGAGGAAGAGATGCTTGAGATTGATGGGAAGCTTGGCAGTGTGGCCCAAAGGCTGAATTGAGCAGGGAGTTGTGAATGTTGGCCGATTCTAGAGGGGAGTCTTCTGGGGGCTCCGGGGTGTAGGGCTGGCCTTCTCTTAGGTCTGTGTCACTCAGGTCCGCTCTGTGTGCCATCTCTTCTACGGCCTTCCTTCAAATAACTGACCCTGGCAGTTTGCCCAGAACAGGGCCGGATATTGGTGGGTTAGTCCTTTAGCTGCCTTCAAATGGGGCCTTTCTCTCATGTCAAAGGTCAGATCCTCCTGAGAGGTTAGCCGCCTTTAAAGGCTGAATGTTTGTGTCCCCCCAAAATACATATATTGAAACCCTAACCCACAATGTGATGGTATTTGGAGGCAGGGCTCTGGGGAGGTAATTAGGTTTCAGATGAGGTCAGGAGGGTGGGGCTTCCACGGTGGGATTAGTGTCTTTATAATAAAAGAAGACCAGAGCTCGCTCTCTGCCGTGTGAGGAGAACACAGTGAGAAAGTGGCCGTCTGCAAGCAGGAAGATTGTTTTCACCAGGAATGGAATCTGCCGACACCTTGATCTTAGACTTTCCAGTCTAAGAAAGTCTAAGAAATAAATGAGAAGTAAGTGTCTGTTGTTTAAACCACCCAGTCTGTGGTACTTTGTTACAGCAGCTTGAGCAGACTAAGACACGTTTCATCTTGCCTTTCACATTAGGAGAGTCCCAAGGCCCCCTGCTAGACCCTCCCCATTTGTCTCCCAATGCACAGTCCCCTCCAAGGAGCACCTCTGTACGGGGGCCCTCTAAGTACAGTGGCAGGGTCATGTCCATTACAGGCTGCACACTTTCACGGGGAAAACTGAAACCCTGGAGTGTCACCGGAATGTTGATGGGGGCTGATCTATTCTAAAACTGAAAACTCAAGGATGTCATGCTCATGGCTTTCAAATATCGGAGGGACTGTTGTGCTAAAAAGGGAAGGGATTCATTCATTGTTGCTGGAGTCAAAGGAAGAGGTGGATTGAAATTCATTGAGGGGAGGAGACTTTTACCAATGAGCACTACCCTGCACGGGCTGGGGCTGCCTAAGGAGGGAGTGAGCCCCCTGTCACTGGAGGTGTGCAAATATCAGTAAGGGATATTTAAGAGGAAACTCATGACCTGGGGACTAGGGTTATTCTACTGCCTGGCTTCTAAGCCTCCCATCCCTCAACTGAAATCTGAGAATGTGAGTTCTCAGATTTCGGCTTTAGGATGGTTCTAAATGAGATGTCAGAAGTTGGGAAAGCAATGAAAGAAATCCACCAAAGTGAGGACCAAGCTATAAAAAAAATCTTTATTTCATGTACCAGGATTTTTTTCTTTTTTTTTTCTTTTTTTAGTTTTCAGCTTTTTAAAATTTTTTTCTGTTAACAGTTTGAAAAAAAAAGGACCCACCAACAAAATAAAATGGAGGTTGGTTTCTTGGACTGGTTTGAGCTGGACATGAGCAATCGTCCACCCTGGAGAACGGCGCCTTTGCAGTCCTGAACACAGCTCCTTCCCCCCAGGCCCCCTAGCCCTTTCACCCCACACCTGGTTGGCCTTCTTCAAGGGTACCCAGGCCCCGGGTCTCATGGCCTGGGAAGAAGCGCTGATTGCCATCCCAGACACTCTGCCGGAACTCAGAGAACTGGGACCAATTTTCCTCTTTGGACCATGCCCGTGCGTTTGCTGTTTTCTTTCTTTCTCCCTTCTCTCTAGTCCTTGATCCTTTCAGGTTTGGGATCTGATGGGGGCAGTGGGCAAGGTTGAAGTGGGGAGGGAGAGATTGTGATTTCTGCCCAGACTGAGAAATACTGGGTGGCCACCACACCTGGCATTGGCCGCCATGGCTCTGTCCTGGGGCTCCCGGGGCCCCCGTGCACTTCTGGGCTGGCAGACAGATGTTCTGTCTTGTGGCTCAGGCTGGATTTAGGGTCCCAGCTGCTACTGACCTGAGAAAAGAGCTTTCCTTTCCCAGACAAGAGATGGAAAGGGCAGCTGAGAGTGGGCGAGCCCCCCAAACTTTTCCAGCCACTCCCCCCGACTCCCCAGACCTCAACCTAAGAAGCTTCAGGACAGGCCAGCGTTAAGAAAGAGACCAACCAAGCCGTGCTGTTGGGGACAGCAGGGGCCCCACCTTCGGCAGAGTGACCGGCAGGCTGGGCTGAAACCTGAGCTTGGGAAAGTGATTGGCTTTCTTTCATTCTGAAGTGGCCTTGCTGCTCTGGGAAGAAAGGGGAGCAACATGGGCTGCCCCCAAACTTGAGTCCGTGGTGTAAGTTTAACTTTGGGGGTTGGTCCTCATGCTGGGACCAAACTTTGTGAATCTCTGCTCTCCATCCCTCAGCCTTCACCCCTCCCAGCAAACCTTGGAGGACCCTCCTTTTCCCTGACCTCTAAAGACAGTGGGGGAAGCCTGGTGGCTCATCTTCTCCCAAGGAAGTCCCCTCTGCTCCCTGTGACCGGGTTATGGCATTCAAGGAAGGGGACACAAAGTCAAGAGTGGCTTTGGGGACTTCTGGTACCTTTCCCTCTCTGAATGGCAGAAGACGTTTGCTCACATGTGTGTATTTTTGCTTTGACACTGGATGCGGGGGTAGAGGGTTGGGAGCACAGTGAGGAGGCATATGGTGTGTGTATGTGTGAGTGTGTGGTGTGTGTGTGTG